ACACTGGGCCTCAGTCCCATGACCACGAGATCATGACCTCAGACAATATCAAGTGTCAGAGGCTTAACCAACTGAGCTACCCAGGCAGCCCTGAAATGAGTCTTTTATAGGCAGAAAATAGATGGGTCTTGTTTTTTATCCATTCTGTCACCCTATGTCTTTTGATTGGAGTGTTTAGTCCCTTTACATTCAAAGTAATGATTAATTGATATGTATTTATTGTCACTTTTATTTTTTTACTTCTTTGTAGTTGTTCCTATAGATTTTCTCTGATTCTTTCTTCTCTTGCTCTCTTTCATGGTTTGTTGGCTTTCTTTAGTGATATACTTGGATACCTTTCTCTTTATTCCTTGTATATCTCCTGGTTTTTTATTTGTGGTTACCACTAGGTTTTTATATAACATCTTCTGCATAGAGTAGTCTATATTAGGTTGATGATTGCTTAAGTTTGAAACCATTTCTTACTCCTCCCCAACGTTTTGGGTATATAGTGTCATATTCTACATCCTTTCATTTTATGAATACCTTTGACTGGTTTTTACAAAAATACTTACTTTTACTGCTCTTGTATATTTTACTTTTCATACTCTCCTTTATGGTCTTTCCTTTATATTCAAAGGAATATTTCTTGAAGGCTTGTTTAGTAGTCATGAACTCTTTTATTTTTTGTCTGAGAAACTTTTTATTTCTCCTTCGATTTTGTATGATACTCTCTGATAGAGTTTTCTTAGCTACAGCTTTTTCTTTTCAGGAGTTTGAATGTATCATTCCACTTCCTGCTGTCCTGCAAAGTTTCTGCTGAAAAATCCACTGATAGCCTTATGGAGTTTCCCTTGTATGTAACTGTCTTCCTTTCTCCTGCTGCTTTAAAATTTTTTTCTTTATCATTACTTTTTGCCATTTTAATTACTATGTGTCTTGGTATGGACCTTCTTGGGTTGAATTTGGGGACTTAGGGGAATCTCTGTGCTTTCTGGATCTGGATATCAGTTTCCTTCCCCAGATTAGGGAAGTTTTCAGCTATTATTTCTTCAAGTAAATTTTCTGCCTTCTTTTCTCTCTCTTCTTCCTCTGAGATCTCTATAACATGAATGGTATTATGCTTAAGGGGGTCACTGAGTTCCCAAAGGCTATTCTCAATTTGAGCAAAAGGAAGGAAAGAAAATGAGCTTTTCTTAGCAAAATTAGTTTTTGCTCAGCTTGGTTACTCTCCATTACTTTGTCTTCCAGGTCATTAATTCATTCCTCGCTTCATCTAGACTGCTATTTATTCCATCAAATGTATTTTAAATTTCAATTATTTTGGTCTTGATCTGATTGTTTTTTTATCTCTGTGTTAAAGGTTTCACTGATGTCCTGCCCTCTTTTCTCAAGTCCAGTGAGTATCTTTATGATCATTACTTTATTATTTTATCTATCTATCTATCTATCTATCTATCTATCTATTTTTAGAGAGATTGAGAGAGCATGCATAGGGGAGAGGGACAGAAGGAGTAAGAGAGAGAATCCCAAGCAGGCTCCATGTTCAGCACAGACACAGGGCTTGATCCTACAATACTGGACTCATAACCTAAGCTGAAATCAAAAGTCAGATGCTCAACTGACTAAGCCACCCAGGCACCCCTTATCATTACTTTAAAATCTCTATCAGACATATTACTCATATCCATTTTGCTTAGGTCCCTTGCTAGTATTTGTTCCTTTTCTTTCATTTGGGACATATTCTTGCATCTCCTCATTATGTTTAACTCTCTGTGTCTGTTTCTCTGTGTTAGAAAACTCAGCTACTTCTCTTGCCGTTTACAATAATAACGTTACAAAGAAGAGGTCCTCTATTGCTCTGTACTGCAGTGTTCCCTATTCCCCAGGGCCTCACACTTCAAGGAGTGTCTCCTATGTGTGTTGCATGTGCTCTGCTGTTGAATCTTGGCCTTTTCTTCCTTCAGTCCAATTGTCTGCAAAAGTTTTCTCCTGCCTACTGTGGGCATTGTTTGGTCCCTAGCAGGAGTGGGGCCCACTGCCACCTTCTAAAAGGTTCTGGAATTGTGTGGTCTCTCTGTCTACACACTGAACTATTTATGTTTCACCAGTTTCCTCAGCACTTACCTGTTTCCTGACAAGGACAAAGGGACCATTTGGATTCTTTAGCTGCTTTGTAAGAACTCTGGAGAGTCTGGCTGCTCTCTCTGGTCCAACTGTCTAGATACTAATATTGGCCATTTCAGATTTATGACCCTGAGAAAGACCATGTTGACATGATGCTAATGCTGGACATCATGCCTCTTTGGGGAGTTTTTAATGCACTGAGAGGGAAGGAGCCAATCCTGTTGCTCTAAGATTGCCCCTCATTTATCTGGATGTTTCTAACATATACCCTTACCCCGTGATCCTTCTCCCTTCCTCTCAAATAGTGGGGTCAGGAAGAGCAAAGACACTTGAATCTGATTTCCTGCCATTCCAGCTACTTATTCCCTAGGCTCCTCCTGGCACCAGAATGTCTCTTCCTTTCCTGTACAACAGAAACTTTCTTTATGTCATACCTTTATCTCTTATATTCTAAAGTTTATTTTTAAAAACTTTATACTCCAGCCTTTTAGGTTTGGATCTTTATAAATTCATTACCAAGGCAAATTTGGTAATTTGAGGAAATCCTTTTCTGTCTCAACACAGCCTGTGTTTTGCAACTCAAATGTGTATGTTTCAGAGTATTGTCTTGCTATTGATCTTAAAAATTATTTTTAAAACTAAAAGGAAAGCATGAATGTTTTGTTCTAGGTGAATCTTCTCTCTCTTTTCTCTGATGCAATAAACCCCAAAATTTCTAACAGTCTCAACAGAGAGACTGTGAGTGAAGAGTTACGGGAAAAATGGAGGGTGGGGATGAGTTACAAATATTTGAGTGGCAGTCTGGTTGATCCTTCTCTGTTATACTATTTTCCTACTTTATATTCTTCACTGAAGTTAGACAGAATCCTGATTTTTGCTATGTGAGAGATGTGTGCATGAAACTTTGATGTCTTACCTTTTTCTGAGCTCTCCTGGAGAGAGGAAGACAAAGCTGAGACTAGTTCACTAGGTAAGACATCTGTAGCAGGAAATGCCCAGGAGATGAGGGTTTTGTAGGTCCCTTCAGCACACAGAACATGGGATAAACCATTAAAGTCACTTTGAAGCTTTCTTTGTTGTGCCTGCCTTGTATTTTAGAGAGACCCATATTCAGGAAATGCCTTTCTGCCTGGTGAGAGCTCCAGTGAGGAAGAAGAGCCTTTAGCAGAATTGTCAAAGGAGGAATTGTGCACGAAAATAAAAAGCCTGAAACAAAAACTAACAAACACCCGGAAAGAAAACAGCCGACTTCGACAGTCTTTGGTCATGCTTCAAGGTAAACTTTGAGAAAACTGACATTTTTAGATAAAAGGGAAAATATATGATAAATGAAAATTATTGCAAATCACCTGTCAAGAATGAAAAAGAAAATCACTACCTTAGAGAAAAAAATCAAACATCACATTTAAAAAAAATCTGTGATTTTCTAAGCACTCTATTGAAGCCTTTAATTTATAGCTTAGACAATTTTAGATTATTCCTGCAAAATACCAAATGTTGTATTCACTTAATAACATTCAGTGGATACTTACTGAGCATTTAATAGAGGCTACTTACTGTGGTAGGCCCCAGAAAGAAAAGATTACTAAGACAGAACAAATACACAAAGGTGTTTATGATGTATTGATCTCATTCCCCACTGCCAGGGAAAGCACTAGAAAATGAGGCCTGTTATGATCTATTACAGAATTACTGGAATTAAAGATCCCATATATTAAAAAATAAATAAATAAATAAATAAATAAATAAATAAAGATCCCATATTAAATTGTAGTTTTATAATTGGGAAAAGTGGTTTGAGAAAATAATCACAAATTATTGAGAAATAATCACATTCCATTGAAGACTGATAAATGAGAAAGATCCATCTTTGCAAATTAAAAACCACTTGGTATAATGCCTTCTGTATGGTCTTATATTGTATTTAAGTATTTATTTTTCAAAAATTATGTTTTCCATTTGCAGTTCAGCACTAGGCACTATTTTGTGCTGCTGAATATTTGGCAATCATATGCTATGCTGGGCAGCATCTTGTTGTAAAACAGTAAATACACAGAACATTTTGAAAATAAATCCCTCTGGCTTCTGCACAAAATGAGTGCATAACACAAGGAAGAAAGTGAAGAAGGACCACTCTCTAACAGTACTGCAGTCATCCAGACTAACAAGATGGCAGCCTAGCCCAGGGTGATAGCATGGATGCAAAGAGGATAGTTCCACATATTTTTGGAGGCAGAAATGATCAGAGACAGATAGAACAGGGTGATGAGCTAGATTTACAAAGTAATGACTCACATGCTTTCCTAAGTATATTTATTAAATTGAAGACTTCATAATTTTATATAGAAACAGCTACATCTTAAATATGTTTATTGCATCACCAAGCCATTATCTCTTTATTTTTTCGACTTTAAATATTGAATTTTTGTAACCAATGTTTTTTTCTGGTGAGGTTTTTGCAAATTTCAAAGAATAGATAATTTTCATTTTTATTTAATCTGTTCCAGAACTTAGAGTATGATTAAAAGCTAGTTTATAAACATAGCATAAATTGCTGGTTCAAAGTATTGATTTTTGAGTTATAGACTTTAGTTTGAATCCCATCTCTGCTTATTAGCTATACAACTTTGGCCATGTCACTTTCCTGGGCCCTCGGCCCCACCTTCAATCTTCTTATCTACAAAATGGGGATGAGGGTAATCTGTCATGTCCTTCCTGCTATGAAGATTAAAAGAGATCATTGGAAGAAATGCTTTCCCCAGAGCACATGATAGGTGGTCAGTAATGGCATTTATTATTATTATTGTCTCTGTTTTTATCAACACCAGAACTTGACACATAAAGCCCAAAAAGAAAATTATTAGACCAATCTTTGTTACACATTTAGATGAGAAAATTCTAAATGAACGAGTAGCAAATGAGTCTCAATAGTATATGAAAGGAATCACTATGACCAGTTTTTTCTCTCTCCCATACTCCCAAATGCCATTTCATTTTCTTCTCTCTCTGCCAATTTCTCATACCTCCTCCCATATCCTCGCTTTCAGGTGATGACTTTGCTTCCAACTTCACTGTGAAATTGGAGGATATAAAAGAGACTGTCATCTCCCTGCACACATGCTTTATTTATTTTATTTTTTTATATTTTAAGTAAGGATCTCTGCCCAACTTGGAGCTTGAATCCATGACCTCAAGACCAAGAGTTCCATGCTCTACCAACTGAGTCAGCTGGATGCCCTATCCTTGCACCCATGCTTAATGCTTCACTCTCTCCTGTCGCTCATGATGACCTATCCTCTTGTAGGGCCAAAGGCAGTATCTGTGCATCAGATACCATCTTCTTTTACCTAAGAACAGAGCTCTGGAGGTTCTCCCTGCTCTCAAGATAAAATTTTCTTCCTCTAATGAATCATTCCCATTAAAATCGGACATACCATTATTTCTCCCATTTAAAAAACAAAACAAGGGGCGCCTGGGTGGCGCAGTCGGTTAAGCGTCCGACTTCAGCCAGGTCACGATCTCGCGGTCCGTGAGTTCGAGCCCCACGTCAGGCTCTGGGCTGATGGCTCAGAGCCTGGAGCCTGTTTCCAATTCTGTGTCTCCCTCTCTCTCTGCCCGTCCCCCGTTCATGCTCTGTCTCTCTCTGTCCCAAAAATAAATAAACGTTGAAAAAAAAATAAATTAAAAAACAAAACAAAACCCCTTTCAGACATTTTGCTTTTCCACCTTCCACCCTATTTGTCTCCTTCCCTTTAGAGGAAGAACTCCCTAAATGACTTGACACTACACACTGTGTTCAGTTTTTCCCCTTTTATTGTCTCTGGCTCCACTTCAATTAGTTCCTTTTCCTTCTATTGTAACTTCTTTTCTCTTGATCAGCAATAACCTCCATATATAAGCTTGCTAGTAACAAAGTATCACAAATTGGGTAGCTTAAACAACATAAATGTGTTGTCTCCCACTTCTAGAAGCTAGGATTCCAAAATCAAGGTGTCAACAGGGCCACACTCCCACTAAAGGTGCCAGGTAAGTTCTCTCTCAGTTTCTGGTTGTTCCTTGGGTTGAGGACACATAATGCCAGTCTTCATATGGTGTTCTCCCTGTATGCTTCTCTCTCATCATGTTTAAAAGTCCCCCTTCTTATAAAGACACCAATCATACTGGATCAGAGCCCACCCTAATGATCTCATTTAACTTGATTACATCTGTAAAGACCCTACTTCCCAAGAAGGTCACATTCTGAGGTACTGGGGTTTAGGACTCCAAAGTTTCTTTTTTGAGGGGACACAATTCAACCCATAACATTCATATTGCTAGCCTCGAAATCCACTTCTCAATGATCATCTAACTACCCTGTAAGAGCAGACTGCAAAGTGGTTATCTTTTGCTCAGTAATTCTTTAAAACTCTCTGAACTAATAATCAGGGATCTTTTTCAACTTATAAAGCCTACTAACTAAGAAAAACAGCAGAATACATATGCCACTTTAGACATTCAGAATGGCAAATGTATTTGTGCTATATATGTATGTGTTAAGCATTTGAAACTTATCTTGTGGACCACAACTGACTAACACCATAAGATATAAGAGGAAGGGGCACCTAGGTGGCTTAGTTGGTTAAGCACCTGACTCTTGATTTTGGCTCAGGTAGTGATCTCACGGTTTGTGGAATGAGTGCCACATCGGGTGCTGCACTGATACCACTGAGACTATTTGGGATCCTCTCTCTGCCTCTTTCTCTGCCTCTCCCTTTCTCAAAATAAATAAATAAACACTAAAAAAAAGAAGATATAAAAGAGAAAAAGGTGACATATCTATTGTATAGAAGGTATCCATTTATTTTGTCATTATTTTTAGAAAATGAATGTGTACCATAAAAAGGAAAGCATTGACTAAAAACTCAAGTCTCATAACTAATGAGATTACAGTGAAGAATAAAAAATTAGTTAAGTTTTGCCCAGATTTCTTTAAGTATGATATAAAGCTTAAGTGAAATATGTGTGACTCTCCCTTCTTTCTTGAAATCCTGCTAAAAATAAACTTAAAATGCATAAAAGGAAATGACAAGAAAACCTGAAAGAAGACCACAGGAGATAAAAGATACCAATAAAATTTTACAACCTGAAAAACAGATGGATGAGTAGTGACTAACTCTGTAGAAATCTGAAAACTCCGTGTCTGTGATGGGGGTGAGGAGGGGATAGAGGTAGAGAAATTAAAAAGAAATAAGTCATATCACACCACAGAACTATAAATGGTTTAGGCATTGTCCGTGTGAAAGGGATTAGGATAGCGCTGGTAGTGTGAAAAGACCTACATGAAGAGGTCACTGAAAGGAGGAGTCACTGAAAGACCTACACAAAGACACTTTGGGACCACAAAGTTACATATTCTTCCCATGCTGTCTGCAACTACCACTCTTCACCACAGCAAAAGATGGAGGTTTTCTCTCAGGAGGGGTTGAACCAGAGCTATGAACTCAGGGACACTGGGCACACCTGAGGGAAGGTGATTATTTGAGGAAATCTTCTATCATGGAAAACAGACCAAAACAAACTAAGAGAAAAATAAAGTCAAAGGAAACAGATAATTCAGGGAGCAGAAGAAATATACATGATATAAGAACAGGGTAATTTAAGAAATGAATATCCACCCAGGGGCGCCTGGGTGCCTCAGTTCCTTAAGCATCTGACTTTGGCTCAGGTTATGATCTCATGGTTCATGGGTTTGAGCCCCTCATTGGGCTCTGTGCTGACAGCTCAGAGCCTGGAGCCTGCTTTGGATTCTGGGTCTCCCTCTCTCTCTGCCCGTAACCCACTTGCATTCTGTCTCTGTCTCTCTCAAAAATAAGTAAACATTTTTTAAAAATTAAAAAATAATTTTTAAAAAAAAAGGAGAAAAAGAAAAGAAATGAATATCCAAAGACCAAGTGGGGAGAAACCTAGAAATTCAATAAAATGTCTGGAAGTTAAAGTTAAGAAAATCTTGTAGATATTAGAGTAAGAAGACCAAGAAAAGGAAAATAGAGAATATTGGGAAAAATAAAGAATTAGTCCTGGAAGTTGAATGCTCAAAGAGAAGAAGTTCTTTTTTATTTCAATTAAAAAAAATATTTTATTTCTTTTTGAGAGAGAGAGCAAGAGCAGGGAAGTGGTAGAGAGTGAGGGAGACACAGAATCCAAAGCAGACTCCAGGCTCTGCGCTGACAGTACAGAGCCTGCCCTAGGGCTTGAACCCACAAACTGTGAGATCATGACCTGAGCCAAAGTTGGAGG